GAGAAAATATAAGTGTGAACTCAAGAAGCTTAACATACCATGGCTTAGAAGACTTGGGAGATGATTTTGAAAATAAATCATTGGAAAAAGCTAATCACGCACTTGTGTTGATGATTCAAGGCTTAGCTGAGAATTTACATCAACCCATTGCAGTTTTTACTTCTAGAGGATCAGTGAAAGGTACCTAATTATAATTGATTATAATTTTAATTAATATAAATAAACGTTGTGACTTGTGAATAAACATTGTGAATATTACCCAATTATACAGGAATCGATCTGGCAAAAATAGTAACAAAAGCCATACTGCTTCCTGAAAATGCAGGTGTAGAAGTATTAGGAATAACGAGTGATGGTGCATCTACCAATAGAACATTGTGGAATGTTTTGGGTGTAAGTGGAAAAATAGATCAACTTCAAAATTCATTTGTGAATCCATTTGACAACACCCGAAGAGTGTTTGTGTTTTCTGATGCGCCACATTTACTAAAAACAATAAGAAATCGGTTGTATACTAAAAAAACTCTTCAAGTAAATTATACAATATGCATTAATTTAATAATATTGTGCTCATTAAAACTTTATATTATGATCTTAATTTAAAGATTTGCCCCACACTTTCTCCAATTCAATGGAAAATATATGAAAATGTATTTGAAAACGATAGCAAAGCAATAACCAGAGTTTGTCCAAAACTAACAAAAAGCCATTTTCAATTGGACAACTTTTCTAAAATGAAAGTGAAATATGCCTCGCAAGTAATTTGTTTGAAACCCCTATATAAATTATAACATTAAACCTAACCTACCCTACACAATTTTATGATTGTATTTTAGGTTTTCAGCAAGTCAATGGCAGATGGCATAGTGTTTTTTAAAAGTAAAAAATTTCCGGGGTTTAATCATAGTGAAGAAACAGTTAAATTTACTTTATTTATTAATAATTTGTTTGATGCCCTTAATCGAAAATTTCCCGCAGAAGGGTTAAGAAAAGATAGTAAAGATTTACAGGTTTTACACAAGTGTTGCTTTGTGTTGCATGTTTGATGTTTGTAGTAGAATAGGGAAGTATTTAAATATACATATATGTACAAAATATGATTATATATGTTTTATTTTATGTATACATAATGCATGTAATTAGAGTTGTTTGTACTAGGTACACATCATTTACAAATTTCGTATTTTTAAAGGTATTAAAGGATGCATTAGAGTTTCTCAACAACTGGGAAAGGAATTTAATCAAGCAAATAATTAAAGACGATGATTTTCTAACTAAACAGACTTCTGAAGGTCTCAGAGTAACAATTAAATCCACAATTGATTTGGTGAACTATCTTCATGCTAATTGTGATTTCACATATGTGTTAACAAATAAATTTAATCAAGACTGTTTGGAAGTAAAATACTATTTGTCATGTCAATTTTTAAATACTATTAAAATACATAGGTACCTACTTGATATTTATTATATATTATTAAAAATCAATAATATTTTTCAGAAATTTTTTGGTATCATTAGACAGACATCTGGTCCTAATGATCATCCATCAACGCCAACTTTCTTACAATTGTATCGTATGCTTTCTGTGTATTCTATGATTAAACCACCTAAAACTGGTAATTGCAGTATTCTAGAAGGTATACAAATTTATATTAAATTTAAATTGTTTTATTTTAAACTACCTAATTTTTGTTCAACTCACTTTTTTTACTTTAGAAAATGTTCCAATAATCACTTTAAGTGATTTAAAAAATATTGTTAATAATGAGAGTAATGTAGTAGAAAGAAATGAAAAGATTTTTAAACTCAAACAAAAGCTAAATAATATTATTGAAGAAGACTGCTGGACTTTTGATGATGTATTCACTGAACACAGTTACAGTAATATAGATTCTTCAGTGTTTGAATGTATAGTTTACTTTTTAGCCGGGTAATTATTAAAAAAGCATAACAAATACAACTTATAATAGCTTATAAGACTTTATTGATACCTAAAAATGATAATGTATTAATTCAACAGATATATTACAAAAAAAATATTAAAAAAAACAAAATGTGAAAAGTGCATAAATTCTTTAAAAACAGAGTATGGGAAATCAAATAATCAAGCTGCAGATTTGGTTAACTTAAAAACAAGAGGATTTTTAACTCACCCAAACAATACTTTGTACAAAATCCTAGAAACATTAGAAGTATGTTTCATAAAACATGCAGCATCCCTTAATCCGTTTGAAGACACGTATGAGGAATTCTTTCAAACAAATGTCAATAAACTAACATTTCCATGTGGAGTACATAAAACAGATATGTTGACTGATATTTTTGTTTCATACATCACTATGAGAATGAGACAGTTTAGTTATTTAAAAAATCAAGATGTTAAAAAAGTGAACAAAAGTAAAAAAAAAGTTTCAAAGTTGGTTCATACATAAATATATACCAAATATATTATGTACCTATTATAATATACATTTATTTGATTACATTTAACCTATTTTGTGTGAATATTAATATTTAATGCAGTCTAATTACTATTAAATATTATATAGGTGTATAAAAATAGTTGTTTTATTAAATACAAAATATTAATAATTACCTACCTATTAACCATTGACATAATATAATATATATATATTATATATTAATGTCTGTGAAGTTAGCTCCCGGACGTTTAGCACTTATCAATTCTGATAAGGTAGGTAACCGTATTCCTGTATACTATATTGCCTATTCATATCTTACTAGGAGTCTTAACAAAAATATTTATTTTTCAGATATACCTAATTCAAGATGGATGAATGATAATTATTATAATTATTAAGATTATAATATTATTAAATATTAATAAGTGATATGTCATACTATATTAATGCAATTAATAAAACAAAGAAAATTCTGAACTACCTAGTATGAATATAATTCCATAAAAATTGATAATAATTAAAATTTTTTTTTGCAAATATTTGATTTCATAAACAGTTATTGTTTTTACTATTTTGAGTAAATAAATCTAATTTGAGTAAATGTATACGATTATATCATAGTACAAAGTATTCATGAAAACAAAAAAAAAATCAATTGCAAGTGATATACATCTTATAATGTAACATTTAGGCATCAATAGAGTGCAATAACAACAAGATGAATAAAATATTGAAAAATATTGTACCAAAATGAGAATAGAAAACCCTAAACCTACAATTATTACAAATAGTATTAAGATCTTCTACAGGTGCATTCCAAACAGTCAAATCAAATCAGCTTTAAGGAAAACATTTATATTATCCGACAATAACCCACCAACGGTCTATAATATTATTTAAAACTAATTTAACATTTTGATAAAACTACAGGGTCAACAGTGGGGAACGAGCTTAAAAATTTAATCATACAATGAATAACAATATTAACTAGATTATATATATTTATGTGTTAAAGACCTCGCATAATGATCATAAATTAATAATTATAAAACTTTTACAAATAGCTTTTAAAAAATGTCAAAATATATTATTTATGTTAATAAAAAAAAGGCAGGTAAGTGGATGTCGCTCAGCTGTACAGTAGGTTACAAGTTGGTCATTGTTTAATGGATTGTATTAAACTTGAATTCAATGATATAATCAGTGCTTGAATTGGAAAAAAAATAGAAGGGGTATGCAAAAGTATAAAACATTTGTGCGTCCCCCCAACATTTAAATGTCTTATCAATTCTTGAAATTAGAAGGGGTACGCTAAAATATTTTAAAAATAGAAGTTGGACTCCGTCCCCCCGCGTCCCCCCCAATTCAACCACTGGATATAATATATTAATATCATTGTATAAGAAAAACGATTCTGAACGGAGACGGTTTGTCAGTCTGTATATTTTATATTGTCATTAATTATTTTATTTATTTAATTATTATTTTTTTTATTCGTTGCTACGGTGATAAACAAATAAATTGTTAGAAATTAAAATCCCATTTTAAGCGGTTTTTCGTAATTTTTCAGTACTTTTTCCCGTGGCATTAAATAACTATTGAGAAAATCGAAAAATGACCTCTCTAAAGTACCATCTTGGTCCAATTTGCTAAAAGATAAGGTACTATATGTTGAAATCAAAGCACTCCTTCTGGTAGACATTTTGTATAAAGGATATAAAAAAAAAAATTTAAAAAAAAAAAAAAAAACACCATTGTAAAACCACTAGCTTCCTTGCTCCGCTCAGAATCTAAAATAACATTTAGTATTCTTGGAATAACTTGAAAACAAATATTTTTGAATACAATTGTATGTCCCAGTACACATAAAAAAGGGGATATATCATTAATTGTTCACTACCCTGTTAATGAACATTACAAATAACAATCCTCCTTAGTTATTAAAAGTTAAAACAAATCCAATTTAACACCCCACATAATTTAGTAGACACAAGGATGATTCTACTATAAAGAACATTTTGGAGGGACGACTCAGCATGAAAAACAAAATGTATGTACACCGAACTATATTTAATTGAGAGGGCATCAAATAAAAATTCGGAATCTGTAGTTTTCCAAGAGGGCCACGGTAGACTTAAATTCCAGGATTATAAAAAGATATCAACCAAACGATTTTTGCGATTTAAGTGAAATGCGTCTGCGAAGATGGTCTAATAGGATGGCTTTTTCAAAACGAACACAAAAATGTATGTTTTCCAGACCATTTTAAGGCGAAAAGACATTCAGCATATATTTGAAATTTGTAGTTTTTGGATAGGGCAATCAGGGGACTTAGAAGCGGCCTCTAGAAAAATAAAAGTATATACATATTATACGACTTTCATGACATACAGGCAAAGCTGCCACGTGGTATACTTAGAACCGAATTTTCGAAATGAACACCCAAATTGCGAGTTGTCAAACCATTTTTAATTGAAAGGGCAACCAACGCAGATTCAAAATTTGTATAATTCGAAGGAGGCACTCGGCGGACTTGGGCAACAGAAAAATAATATGATATAAACGTATAGTTGATTAAAATGTATATGCCACGCGGCTGGTAGGTGTATTTTGGAAGGCTTTTTCGGTGTGATCACCAAAAAAGATATTTTCAAAACTATTTTTAATCGAAAGGGCATTCAAAATAGATTCAAAATATGTACTACCCAAGTGCGGCACGCGGTGGACTTGAGCTCCAGAAAAATAATACGCTTTAAAATGTATGATATTTATGAGTTTACGGACGAATCGGCTGGTAGGTGTATTTTGGAAGGCTTTTTCGGTGTGATCACCAAAAAAGATATTTTCAAAACTATTTTTAATCGAAAGGGCATTCAAAATAGATTCAAAATATGTACTACCCAAGTGCGGCACGCGGTGGACTTGAGCTCCAGAAAAATAATACGCTTTAAAATGTATGATATTTGTGAGTTTACGGACGAATCGGCTGGTAGGTGTATTTTGGAAGGCTTTTTCGGTGTGATCACCAAAAAAGATATTTTCAAAACTATTTTTAATCGAAAGGGCATTCAAAATAGATTCAAAATATGTACTACCCAAGTGCGGCACGCGGTGGACTTGAGCTCCAGAAAAATAATACGCTTTAAAATGTATGATATTTATGAGTTTACGGACGAATCGGCTGGTAGGTGTATTTTGGAAGGCTTTTTCGGTGTGATCACCAAAAAAGATATTTTCAAAACTATTTTTAATCGAAAGGGCATTCAAAATAGATTCAAAATATGTACTACCCAAGTGCGGCACGCGGTGGACTTGAGCTCCAGAAAAATAATACGCTTTAAAATGTATGATATTTATGAGTTTACGGACGAATCGGCTGGTAGGTGTATTTTGGAAGGCTTTTTCGGTGTGATCACCAAAAAAGATATTTTCAAAACTATTTTTAATCGAAAGGGCATTCAAAATAGATTCAAAATATGTACTACCCAAGTGCGGCACGCGGTGGACTTGAGCTCCAGAAAAATAATACGCTTTAAAATGTATGATATTTATGAGTTTACGGACGAATCGGCTATTAGGTGTATTTTGGAAGGCTTTTTCGGTGTGATCACCAAAAAAGATATTTTCAAAACTATTTTTAATCGAAAGGGCATTCAAAATAGATTCAAAATATGTACTACCCAAGTGCGGCACGCGGTGGACTTGAGCTCCAGAAAAATAATACGCTTTAAAATGTATGATATTTATGAGTTTACGGACGAATCGGCTATTAGGTGTATTTTGGAAGGCTTTTTCGGTGTGATCACCAAAAAAGATATTTTCAAAACTATTTTTAATCGAAAGGGCATTCAAAATAGATTCAAAATATGTACTACCCAAGTGCGGCACGCGGTGGACTTGAGCTCCAGAAAAATAATACGCTTTAAAATGTATGATATTTATGAGTTTACGGACGAATCGGCTGGTAGGTGTATTTTGGAAGGCTTTTTCGGTGTGATCACCAAAAAAGATATTTTCAAAACTATTTTTAATCGAAAGGGCATTCAAAATAGATTCAAAATATGTACTACCCAAGTGCGGCACGCGGTGGACTTGAGCTCCAGAAAAATAATACGCTTTAAAATGTATGATATTTATGAGTTTACGGACGAATCGGCTGGTAGGTGTATTTTGGAAGGCTTTTTCGGTGTGATCACCAAAAAAGATATTTTCAAAACTATTTTTAATCGAAAGGCCATTCAAAATAGATTCAAAATATGTACTACCCAAGTGCGGCACGCGGTGGACTTGAGCTCCAGAAAAATAATACGCTTTAAAATGTATGATATTTATGAGTTTACGGACGAATCGGCTGGTAGGTGTATTTTGGAAGGCTTTTTCGGTGTGATCACCAAAAAAGATATTTTCAAAACTATTTTTAATCGAAAGGGCATTCAAAATAGATTCAAAATATGTACTACCCAAGTGCGGCACGCGGTGGACTTGAGCTCCAGAAAAATAATACGCTTTAAAATGTATGATATTTATGAGTTTACGGACGAATCGGCTGGTAGGTGTATTTTGGAAGGCTTTTTCGGTGTGATCACCAAAAAAGATATTTTCAAAACCAGTTAAGTGCATCGGTGTCGTGGTCTACTAGTCAACGAACCACTAGGTACTATCCACGCCATGTAGTGCTTTTATTGAATAACTTCTTGACCTATTAATTATTGTGTATCCCTTCATCTAGTGTGCTTATTGTAAATATATTTTATACAGATTGTACAAATTAAATAAATATGACAAAAAAAAAAATTAAAATCAACTGTATCACTCCACCGTCTCCACCTCAGTATAACTTATAAGTTGTATGTAGTTACAAACTAACAAAGTATTTTAGTATAATTTTGGTGCCCAACAAAGTTACAATTTTCAATGAATTGTGTAACTCGGCCCATTTGTTCTCACAAATTATATTTTATATAGGTACTAGACAAAATAATATATTAACAAATATAATATTTTATATTACTTTAGTAGTTTAGTAATTAGTGCACATTTATTCAATGAAAATATTTAAACATCAGTCATATTATGTAAATATCGAAAAATATTTAATCATACAAAAATCATTACAAAACAATAAAACATACATAGGTGAACAATATCTTACAGTTGAAAATTATACACTTAAAAACTTATACACAGTACAATATAGATGTTTGCTGTACCTATACCTATTTTATATGTAGGTTAAGTCAAACATTTAATTCTAAAATTTAAATTTGTTTTTTTAACAGTAAATAACAACTATGAATATTATATAATGTAATACAAAAACAACAATTTTAATATAAGAATTATGTCATGTATAAATAAAGTGTTAGGTTTTAGTTATATGCCCATGTACCCATGTATACGGTAGACATATTCAAGTATAATACAAATAATCTCAATTGGCATAGTATACAATATAATATAATATACCTGATAATATAAAACTATGAAATATAATTATAAATATACATATTACATTTGTTTTTCTTATGTATTATATTATTATTACAAATTTTTTTTGTTATTGAAAAGTGTAAAACTGTAAACCATATGGGTCTTGATAGAAAAAAATGTAATTCTTAAATAAAAAATGTTATGTATAAATGTATAATGTAAAAATGGTATATGAAAAATTCTTAAAAAGATGGTATAATATTATAATATGTGTTTAAAAATATGTGTTTTAAAATGTTGCGATTTCTGAAAAAAAGAAACAAATAGATTAGGATTTATATTAAAATTTTTTTTACGCTACCAAACATTTAGATACAATAATATTTCAGGTTTTGTACAAACAAACTGTTATTTTGTGTGAACTCGTAAGTCATTAGTCGTAATCACTACGGTGAACTTAGCTATCGCGTTCTTGGTTTGTCGCCTTATCGCGGTCGTATATTTTATCTACGTTTGTACGTTTTAGAGTTTTGGGGGATTTGTGAACGTTTAATACTTCATTTGCGAATTTGTAAACGTATCGGTATGTAAAACCCGTGTATGTGTTAGTGTTCGGTTTTTCACTTTAATAAAATTTCAAAAAGTAAAAATGTAAAATTAATACTGATTAGGTACGTAAAGATATATTTGAGGCTTTTTATATTATAAGTTTCCCAGTTGTATTTTTTTCCTAATATCTGAAATTAATGGTTCACCTATACATATTAAGATATTATAGGTAAGGTTTCATAACGTATTAAGGATTACTACACAATATAAATTAGAATAAACTGCAAGTAGGTACATAAAATAAAAGTTAATTGCGAAATACAGATGTCAGAAATACATTCCATATTTCCAATACATATATTTGATATTTTTAATGATGGAATATCCGAATATCCGAATATGTAGTATTAACTATTAAGTATATTATACTTAGTATTATATTTTAGTAGGTTATTTTTTTAATATTCAAGTAAATTTACCTATTAGCTCGTTGTTTTTTTTCAATATTTTAATTATAAAGCTAGATAGTTATAAGTTGGTACAACACAAAAATTTGAAAGTTCAAAATACATTTAACTCGCTCTTATAGTTAAATTTACCTTAATATCAAAAACCACAAAATTGTTTTGGAAAATACTCGAAACATAAATTTAGGACTTGTAAAATAGAGATAATAATTCGTTTAGCATCCTAATTGATAAAGCTTTATTTTTCAAAACGTATACCTAACACATTAACAAATGTATTACAAATGGGCAATGCAAATATAAATTATGTACGTGCCTATACTGCCTATACCTATGATATATTATAAACGTCGACATTTTTTTGGAGGTGGGGGGGTGTGGTGGTTGGATCTTGAATATAGTATGGTTAAGTAAACTACTTTTCAAACAAAAAAAGTCAAATTTTAAACATATTAAAAAACGTCTGAAACGCTGTTTTAACGCTATTTCAACAACAATTTACTAAAAATATTGTTTTAAACACAAGTTTTTTATTGATACTTAAAACATGTATTTTAATCGTTTAAAACAAAATCAATAAGTTTTTTTTTTTATATTTTAAACGTGTTTTCAACATAACAACCCTGGCCCCTTGGTGCATCATGCGTAGGTATAGCATAAACTATTGTTTTATTATTGCGGATTACGAAGGGTTCAATGAAGCTTACATAATGTGAAATAAATAATAATTTTAAATTATTTGTCTAGGTACTTACAATTGTTAGGGCAGTACTGCCGCGTATGGCCAAATTCCCTGCACTTGTGGCACATAATTGATGGCCGTCCACGTGCCCATCCACGTGCCCGTCCACGCATAGAATTGGCATTATAATACCACGATGACCCTGACGCGGATTGTAGACTTGAGTCTTGTGTGGCCAATTGTACTATATTGTAATAATATTATAATATTTTCATTCTGAACCTTAATACAATTACATATACAATTAAGTTTTTAAAATATTATACTGTTGAAACTAACCGACTGATACAATTGATGTCAAGGTGTGACCTATCGTGTCTAACGCGTTTGAATACATATTTGTGGACGGTGTGGTTGTGTGTTCACCATGTCCGCCATGTCCACCTTGTCCACCACGTCCGCCACGTCCACTACGTCCGCCACGTCCACCGTATCCAGCATGTCCACCGTGTCCACCATGTTCACCATGGCCACGAACGAAATTCTTTCTGTTAAGCTGCCGACGACTGGCAGTGCCACGGGGCCACTTATTAACTATAGACGACATAACTTGCGTGGGCCTACAATATTTCATAAAATATGATCAAAAATTAATACTTAATAACATTTTGTTGTAATATATTTTTCATAATTATTACATTGGTAAATAAATTTAATTCGATGATCAACTTACATATTTGGGTCGCACACCACTATTTTATACCGCTGCGGTACATTGTCGGCCAACTTAGACCTTATTAATGACAAAAATTTAGAATACCTAAACATTTCCGACTTTGGAAATGCCCAAATTAATAAATTCGGGACCATTTCCCTGGTTTCACTAATTTGGGTTTCCAAGGTCTGAAAAAAATTTACATCATCCTTCGAAAACGCCCAAATGACAAACTCCTGACTACCTTGGACCACTTGTCCATTTCTTACTGATGCCCATTTCCTGTTATCTATTAAGCTGTAAAAATATAAATTAAACAAAAAAAAATGTAATTACACGTTGATACAAATTTAAATATAAAACCATTAAATTACCTGGGCGTTAGACGAAAATGATCCAAGCACTTCTTGAACATTGGATTTTCACTCGCGCTGGATAAATCTACAGGTAGTATCAATAAAGTTCCTGGAGCACCACACTCCAAAAACTCTATTTTTGATTCTGTACATTGGGCCAGAGGCGGTTTGAGCGTACTGTTTTTGGTGCACTGCACCACCAAAAATTTGGGTGGGTGGGTGGGTGCGTGGTCTTGGTTAAGTCGGTTAAGACTTAAGGTTCACACTAACACTAAGCGTTTCGTCGGTTCGCTTCCCGACGGTTTTAAACGGTTCCGCAAATCGATCTAGTCTTGTCCCGATAACGCGTTTTATATTTAAACCATTATACTACGAGTTTCTGTTTAATTGCCAATCGGTTCCTGACTCCTGTTAGTCGACAACCGACTAAAGTGCAAAACACGTCATATTGTGTGATCCTAACATCGATTATACATTCTATGTCAATGAAGTATTTTAAGCATTTTTATAATAATATAAAATCAAATCAACGGTATAATAATTATAAATTATAATTAGGTAAAATAATATTGTGTCCATCTAAGATTGCAAGATCATTCAATGATAATATATTTATATTATTTATAGAAGGCACGGACTAAAATGTAATATCTTAGTCCGTACTCTGTTGTATCGGTATGTGTTTTATAATATTATGTTCAGTTGAATATCAACATTTTAATTTATTTTGTGGATTCCGTGGGTTATTTTTACAGTTTTTCAAGAAGTCTTAAATTACACAAAAGTGGTTATAGGTTTATCTATTCTGTGTAGGTACCTTGCATTTTGCAATAAAACTTAAAACGATTATTATTACTAATGTTTGCATCGTCGTAGGCACGTCGACGAAGACTGCGACGGCAACGACGATAACAACAATTATCATTTTCTATTTATATATTATTTTCTTTAGCATTTTACCATTTAATAATATCTGATAACCGCAAGTCACTATAGTCTGTTCATTTTAAGAAGCGATTCAGGCGGCCACTAGTAAAACCGGTTTTCAAGCGTAAATCAGGTCGCTTCTTATTTTGAACAGGGTATAGTCACTAGTCAGTTTTTGTCGTTTTTGTCTTTTGACAGTTTTTGTGTATCTGTCTGCAGGTTCGTGTCGTTCTGCATCGTTGTACCTATTGACACTACGAATATATATTATACTGTGACACTGTATCTATTATTTTTTTTCTCTTTTACACCCACAAATAGGTGATTTAAGTACCTCCTCAATGTCCTCAATTAATAATGTATGTGATTGTGGTAGGAAAAGAGGTTCTATGAACGAAAAAAATTGGTCTAGACACAATGAGTTCTGTAAAATTAAAAAAATTAAATTGAGCCACAACATCAATATAAAAGATTTTTTTTGTTCTGTGAATTCAAAATGTGTCGTCTCAAGTGAGTACCTATTTTATAATATTATAATATTTTACATAGTAATAGTTCAATACATAAAAATTATATTTTTTTAAAGACCAAGAAAAAATTACTACGCTTCCAGTGTTACCTGTTCATAAGGATAATGCTCAAAATGATGATTTTAATGCAATAGTTAATCAAAATCAAGGTAATTTTAATTCAAACAATCTTAACATACCTAGGTATCATTCATAAATTCATATAAGAAATTTAATTAAATATTTTAAATAATTCTAAGACCAAGAAATCATTGAAACTGTGGTGGGTGATGGAAATACAGTTATTGCAAGTGATATTGCCCTTAATACCCTTCAAAGTAAAAAGGCCAATGAAGGTAATTTTAATTTAAAGTTATTTTTATATTTACATACATATTATAATAAATGTAATAACTAAATAATATGTAGTAATAGCAGACGGTACTAAAAAATGTATTTATTTCATTATTTGCCCTATTTTAGATTTAGAAATACTTGTTGTCAACTAGGTATTGTTGTATAATATTATGTTAATGTAGAATTTAAGTTAAATTAATTTTTATTATGTGAGTTGACATATTATTAATAATAATAATTTTTTATTTTTATTGATAATTATTGTTCTCATTTATTTTGATACAAATGATGAATTATTTAAAATAAAATGAACCATTATAAAGCTTAAAACTTAATACTTAGATACCTACTCTTGATATTACATAATATTAAATATTATTTACATAACCTATGTAATGAATGTAATATGTGTGTTTTGTGTTAATATTATTTATTTATAATCAGGTAGTGAACGTAATACTGACATTGAAAGACAACAATTTATGAAAAATGGAACTCAAGCTACATATAATTTCTCTATTCTTGACCAAAATAATTATGATGACATCACACCATCTAAATCAATGGGTAAGATTTGTCAGTACATAAACTTGAATTATAATTACATTTTAAACTATAATTGTATAATTTATTGCATAATGATATAATTGATAAATGGTGTTTAACTATGTTTTTATAAAATTGTTTATATTATCATAATTAATATTCTTGCTTACTTGTGCATTTTTGAATAAAACTAACAATGGTAATTTCAATAATTTTATAATGTTAAAAATTACTTTTTTTTTTAAAGATACTAATCAACTATTCATGAAGACAGTAATTGATTTGGAAAAGTGTTATTCGGAAGAACCAAATAATTTTGTTCCTGACAATTCTTTGGCTACAACCAAGTTTCAAAATGATCCATCATTTTATATAGGAAAAACAATATCGCCTGGTTTAAAACTAACATTATTAGAATTGGGTCCATGTCAGCCAAAAGATATTGATCTACCTGGAGGGAAATTCCCACACGATTCGTCTATACCTTCGCGTTCATTTTCAATGTCATACTATACTAAATTAGTAAATGGAAAAACTGAGAATAGAACATGGCTTACCTATTCACCATCTACTGATAAAGTATACTGTTGGACATGCAAACTTTTTGGTACACCGCGAGCACAAAAAGGTTTGTTTGCTAGTTCTGGTTGTAACTCATGGGGTCACCTATCTGGAAATCATGGGAGATTATATAAACATGAAACATGTAAAGATCATTTAGAGGCTGAATTAAATCGAGTAATGTATATTAATAACAACCGTATAGATTTACAACTAACAAAATCTTCTAATACACAAGTTGCTGCAAATAGAGAAGTTGTGAAAGTTCTCATGGACATTGTTGTATGCTTAGCCAAACACAACTCAGCTTTAAGAGGACATTTAGAATCAGCAAATGATAATATTCAAGGACAATTTCTTGATTGGGTTAACCTATTTTCAAAATACCATCCAGTTTTACGTGCACACCTAGACCGTATACAATCATCATCTAAGAAAACGAGACTGTCTTTTATGTCTAAAGGGTCACAAAATGCAATGCTTGAATGTATAGCAGAAACCATTCGTAAGAAAATACTTAATGAAGTAAAGTTATCAGGTATGTATTCATTAATTTTAGATTCTACTACTGATGTATCAAAGCTAGATCAATTCGCTTTTGTATTACGTTATTGTACTACTGATGGTATCATCCATGAAAGATTAATGTGTGTTGACGAAACTGTGGATTCTACCGGTAATGGTATGTTTCAATTATTTAGTAAAATATGTGACAACCATGCGCTAAATTGGAAAAAAGAATTAGTCGGCCAAGCATACGATGGTGCTTCCAACATGCAAGGTGCAATAAAAGGTTTACGTACAATAATTCAGAATCATAATCCTAATGCTCTGCATGTATGGTGTTTTGCGCATTGCTTAAATTTAGCAGTATGTGATGCATGTGAAGCAACTGCTGAAGTTCAAGATTTCTTTGGAACAGTCAGAAGTTTAGTAAATTTTCTTAGTGCAAGAAAACGCACAGCCAAATATGTTGAGTTACAAAAATCTATCTACCCTAAAGAGCGTATTCGAAGGTTAAAACACTTCAAATACAAGATGGACTTACCATGATCGTTGTATTGATGTTATGTTAAAAACATATAAAGCAGTAATTGAAACATTAAAATTTATTATATCTGATGAGACTGATAAAAAAATCTGTGACATGGCCAAGGGGTTTTATAAAAACTTAAACAAATTTTCTTTTATAGTTACTGCTCATTTAATGAAAAAAATATTTTCAGCTACTACACCATTATCTGTGTATTTACAAGCTCCAGATATGGATTTCATTCAAGCAATGAAACTTGTTAAGGCTACACGACAATTTTTAAATGATATGAGAATAGATGATAATTTATCCAACATATTTTCTGATTCTGAATCATTTTGCACAAGTTTAGACCTAGAAGAGAAAAATATGCCTATTAAACGTACTTCCATTAAAAAAAAAATGAGTGGGGAAAGAGCAAATGATGAGCGACTTCTGTCTTCAAAGGACCGCTATATTAGTGAGGTATATAATATGACTCTTGATAAGACTTTAATGAAGCTGGATGACAGGTATAACAATGCTGAAAATGTTTTTAATGAAATTTCATTATTTTCTGCTGAACATTTACTTCTAAAATCTGCTACCACACCAAGCTCATTTAATTATATATGTAAATGGTTATCATCCACAAACATTGATCAGGATAGTTTGAGTACTGAGTATAATTTATTCTCAAACAACTTTAAGAATTTCATGAAAACATGTCCTGAAATCTCAGTAAATATTGATAACAATACAACAATTGATGAATTCAGCCATGAGAATAATAGCAGCGATAATGATAGCTTGAGGTCCAATGATGAAGATACAAATGCATTAAAACTTTTAGATATTTTTAAAACCCTCAGTAATACTGGTATGTCAGCGGCGTTTCCAAATTTGTACTTGGCTTACAAAGGTATTTGTACTTTACCTCCAACGTCAGCAAGTGCTGAAAGATGTTTTTCTAAATTAAAATTAATTAAAACTAATCTTCGCTCAACCATGTCAGAATCCAGACTTGACCATTTAATGTTAATATCATGTAACTCTGATATTGATATACAAATAGATGAGGCTATTAATATGTATGGCTCAAGGTCAAAATTACTACAATCAGTGCTTTTATTTTCTTAACTCTTAAGTTTAATTTGTGTTTATATCACATTATCCGTTAAGTTTGGGCTTGTTATTTGTATGTATAATAAATATATTGTAAATTTAAATATTTAAAATTTAAAATTGTACCAATTCATCAAACTTCAAAATAAAAGCCTACAATAATTATAAATATATATTTTTTAAGCTATCAAATTTTGTATACGAAAAAAATTATAAAAAAGAGTACCTAATTTTTATTTTTATTTGATTCATTTTTAAATACATTGTATATGTTTTATTGTCTTATTAACAAAAAAGTAACTACACAAATCATAACAGAATCATTGATAATATAAAAAGTGCAAACAACTCTACTGAAGTTACTAAAAAATTACGTAGATATATGAAAAAAACTTTAAAAAAAAATTATTTGTTATTACTATGTATGTGTATGGTGGTGGGGAGGTGGGTGGGTGTCTATATATTGTCTTGCACCACTAAGTTTTACACAGTCAAACCGCCTCTGCATTGGGCGATTGAATGATGAGGTATCTGAAACTGTAAATTACATATTTTATGCTTTGAGTAAATTATTAACTTTTTCTTGAATTATTACATATTTCACATACATTTGTTAGCATAATAAATACAAATCGTATTCAATCACATGTGTAAGAAAAAAAATGTTTATTTATGACAATGAATATATAGTATATAAATGGTTAATAAAAATTAAAACTTACGATTTCGGGGTCGCAAACAGTGACCCTCAAATGCATGTTCCCCTCCGAAAATGTAGTACGTAAGAGATTTCGCACTTCGTACCAATTGAGGCCGTCAGAACAGCAGCCCAGTTTCGGGATAATTAACAAATCAATTGACAAATCTGTCAACCTATCCCGTAACTGGGCTAATGTGGATTCTAATGACTGTAGTGTTGGTTTGTTGTAGTATAACATTTTAGCAGCGCCGGCGCAAGGCCGGGGCGAGCGGGGCACATGCCCCGGGCCCCGCGCTTTCAGGGCCCCTCTAGAAATTATTATTTAAAATAAAATTATTTATATTTAAAACTCTTGTTAAGTTCCATACAGGATTTTATTATCGAGTATAGCTGCATAATATTATCTTGATGTTAGTGGTCGATCTCCGAAATATTAAAATATATTATTGTAGATGAGTTATTCAGTTATAAATAAATCGAATTCGTAATTATTTTAAACCGGGATAACGATTCATAAATTTTATTTTCGTAAAAACCAAATGCATGCTACTTGTACTGGGTGTCTGTGTGTTTCTGTTATTTGACCATTCCACTCACATCAGCTGGAGCAGAGAGATCTTTTTCGAAGCTTAAATTAATAAAAACTTATTTACGGAGTACCATGTCCCAACAACTCACTTGACTAGCCACAATTTGTATTGAAAAAGAACTATCCGAACAGTTGAACTATGAAGAAATTATAAATGATTTTGCTTCCAAAAAAGCCAGAAAGAAAATTATTAAGAACTTAAACACTAAAACTAACTATATTAAATATAAATTATAATTTTAAATGTTTACTTGTTATTTTTATGTACTAAAAAATAATTTCAAATTAATTAACTATATTATACTTTATTTTTTATTTTGATAATGTTGAGAAGTTTATAAAATAAAAGGGAATTAAAAAAAAAAAAAAAAAGTAAATTTATTGTGTAAGTAATAATCAGGGATGGGCAAGATACTCAAAAATCAGTATCGAGATAGTAGATACTAGATACATGGATTTGGAGTATCGAGATACTAGATACTCGATACTTGGCTCTAGAGTATCGCGATACTAGATACTCGATACTTGGCTTTGGACTATCGCGATACAAGATACTCGATACTCGATACTCAATACATTTTAATAAAATTAGTCACTGGATTTTTAAAAATCATGTTTATTATTGTGGGTATGGCCACTTCATTAAGAGGACGCCTCACCCGCATGTGTTGTCACCGTCTTACACACATACGACATAGCAAATGTTCGTTGGCTAGTTTCAATATGATATTGTCAGTTTTTATATAAGAGTGAATTGACCTATTATCAAACTTTTAGGTAACAACATTATCTGTGTTCTCTCGTTGGTTTTTTACGATATTTTAATTTTTAAGTGAATTATGGGTATGTAAAGTATTCATATTCTAAAATGTTCATAACTCACTTAAAAATTAAAATATCGTAAAAAACCAACGAGAGAACACAGATAATGTTGTTACCTAAAAGTTTGATAGTAGGTTGATTCACTCTAATATCAAAATTGACAATACCCTATTGAAACTAGCAAACGAAAATTTGCCATGTCGTACGTGTGTAAGACTGAGACAACACATCCGGGTGAGACGTCCTCTTAAGTAATTAGAATGAAAAATAAAATAAAAAACATTGACACTTTCAGTAATAATAATACATTAGTCACTTTTCAAAAGTGGTTTCTGACTAGTAAAAATAATCGTAAACAATTAATTTTTCAAAGTATCGCGTTAATGTATCGAGTATCTTTCGATTAAATTAATTCATGAAATACTCGATACATTGACTAAAAATGTATCGTGATACAAGATACTCGATACTTCACATAATTGTATCGAGATACAAGATACAAGATACAAATGTATCTAAGATACGTATCTTAGATACTTGTATCGAAGATACTGCCCAACCCTGGTAATAATACATACTTCTATATTTTTTTATACACTATAATATACTTGTAATCGCTAAAAAATATAATAATATTACATATTATGTTAATCTTGATGTAAAACACTATTCAAATGTAAAAACTTCCTAGTTCAGTTTCTCAAATAAAATCTTTTACCTACTATAAAATCATATTTTGTATTTTGTTGCATACATACTGTTTATTGTTAAACGAACTACGAAGCATGCTTTATTTATTTTCAAGTATTAGATACTTATAAAATTCTAATATATAGAGTATAGAGTCTAATATCTATATTATAGACTGTAAACTGTAAAGGTAGGTAGGTACATACCTTTTTTTTTTTTTTTTTTTTTTTTCAGTTTTAACCGACGGCGCCGCGGGAATTGCTTTCGCATTACTGCCGCGGCGCCGCCATCGTTTATTGAAATATCAAAATTTATACATACGGGGGAGGTAGACGGGACAATTCCCCGACTTACCCCCCCTTACATTACAGTTTATACACTTCATCTACATTTTGGGTGTGGTTGTTCTGTACCTGGTCTTAGCGGGCCGACCGGAGTCCGCCGCCCTTGGAGTCCCGTGCGTGCCCGTCTTGGCGGGCCGACCGGAGTCCGCCGCCCTGGGATGCCCGTTCGTACTGCGATGCCGTGATCGCCTTACCCTCCCGTGGTGTCACAGGGGGGTGGGGATGAAGGAGCGGTGGTCGGTGACACCTCCGACGTGTCGCTGTTGCGACTGCGGAGGGCGTCTTCGGTCCGTCCTTCATCGCTGTTCGTCCCGTTCGTCTTCCTCCTTTTCGGCCATGATCGATTCGACCATGGTGGTAAATTCCCGGCGGTTCGTTCTCGCCTGATCGAGTATTCTCTTTCGCGCCGCCAGGTCGTCTGGTAACTCTTCATTGCGGGGGCCGCAGAGAATTTCCTCAACGTCACCGGCGTGGGGGGGTCGGCGGAGAAGACTGACCATAGTGGAGCGCTCATCTACCCACCTCGGGCAGACGAACAGCGTGTGTTCGGCGGTGTCGTCTGTGTGCATGCAGTAGGTGCAGTAGCTGTCGTCTGCCCGGTTGAATCTAGCGAGGTAGCTCCTGAAGCAGCCGTGAGCTGTGAGTACCTGGGTGAGGTGGAAAGTGAGGTCCATTGGCGGTTTAGTCAGCCATCGTGCTATGTCGGGTAGGAGTCGGTGGGTCCATCTCCGCCCTACCGCGCCAGGTGTGATGGCTGCCCGGTCCCATCTAGATTGCCAAGACTTGACCGATATCTCCCTCTCCTGGAGCTTCACCGCTTGTTTAGGTCTGACCTCGCCAGCGTCGCTCATCCGGTCGTTGACTCTGGCTCTCTCGTGAGCGAGGAGGTCAGCCGGCAGCATAGAGGAGAGGACGGATGACGCATCGGCGGACACCGTCCGGTACGCCCTTATCGTGCGTATGGCCGTTGTACGCTGTGCCCGAGCCATTTCATTCCGGTTCTTCGCGGTCTTGGTGCCAACTGTAGCCCAGACCGGGGAGGCGTACAGGAGTTTGCTGTTCGTTACGGACCCCAGGAGTGCCCGTTTAGCCTGGGCCGGTCCGCCTAGGTTCGGCATGAGTCGTCCGATGGCTTTGGCGGATTGAGTTGCTCTCTTCGACGCAGCCGCGATGTGGGCGGTGAATGAAAGTCGGGTGTCGAGCTCAACTCCCAGATATCTTATTGACGCCTTGACCGGGATGGCGTGTCCATCGACGTACAGCTCAGGCTCGGTGTATTTATACTTCCCGGTCAGGACGACGGCCTCCGACTTCTGGGGTGCAATGGACAAGCCGTTGTCGCGCATCCAGTTGCTCACGGTTTCCAGCGCCGGGTTCAGTAATGCAGCTGCGGACGGCCCGGTCCGGGAAGTGCCGATGACGGCTACGTCGTCCGCGAAGGCGACGAGCTGCACTCCCGGTGGCATTTCGGTGTCGAGCAGGTCGTCGTAAAACAGGTTCCACAGAGACGGCCCGAGGACTGAGCCCTGTGGAACTCCGCAGGTCGTGCTCCGGGCCGTCCGCGCCTCGCCGACCAGGAGAGTCCTATCCTGGAGGTATGATCGGATGATCCGGTTGAGATACGGAGGGACCTTTTTACTCCTGAGGGCGGCATCTATGCGCGGCCAAGGGACGGTGTTGAACGCATTGCAGACGTCCAGTGACACCGCCACACAGAGGTCCCGGTGTTGCGTCGCGCCGACGGCGGCTCCTCGGGCGGCAGAGATCACGCGTTGGATGGCGTCCTCTGTGGATCGCCCGTGACGGAATCCATATTGATTTTCGGATCGTTGGCCGGTCGAGTCCAGGTGCTGATTTAGCCTGATCAGCA